GTACGCGAAAGTGTTTTAGGAGGTATTTTTAAGTTGTTAGATAATTATGCAGAGCATATATTCGGACCAGTAAATTACTTGTAGATAATCCATACCGCGATTGACAACCATCTTACTCAACTTTTTAACCCTTTCTGTTTTGTGATCCGAAGTGTGTAAATACAGTTTTCAATAAACTAATTAAACGTTCTTATGCGTTCTAAAGTACTCCATTCATATTCAACAAAATCCTGATGCCCTGCTATAATTGATTAATTTGTACTAGGAAATCAAAGACAGTTGTTTTAACAATTAAATTTTAATGAAAAGATGAGAAAAAAAAGGCGACATATGTAGTGTGCAGAAAACCAAACCATCACAGACAATGTGCAAAATCTTCATTAACAAGTAGGTCTGCCTTAAATTGTCGAGCAAATTGAAGTAAACATTTCACGAATAGTAGATTCTTAAAATATTAGCATAGTTGAAGGTAAGGCCTTGAAGGTTTTACAGAAATTAGTTACTTAACTGGGATATTCGGGCAATATCGCATCCTACGAGATTCTGGTCCATTCCCTTCGTTAACCATCGTTGGGGATAGGTTAAAAGCTTCTTTGGTTCGTGGATTAAATGCGAAATGGACAGGGTCACTATTTTTAGCAATTCTAATCAAGACGCGAATGCACCTACCGAGGCGAGCACGAGCCGTTCAATTCTGCCTAAGGTCAATGAACCATTCAAAAATCTGATATGATTCTACAGAGTGCCAGAAAGAATAAAATTTGTGTTGCTAGAAGACCGGAAACTTCTTCTAACATTTTATTTATGGCTACTTGTCCAATGCAAGACCCAAAGGCTTGTGATTTGATAAAACTATAGTTGAATACGCATCACTTGAACCGGTAGCAAATTCTTTACTTGAAAACCCCAGTACTTTAAAACAATTGACTAGGTTTTGAAGCAATTAGGCTAGTGCTTAAGCTTAACTTAGGTATATTTTTCCGAGGTGTTAAAAACGAATGCTGGGAAAGGGGTTCGGTGTCGATAATCAGTAATGCATTTGACTCTCCTAACTTGATTGAAAAATCTTCTTTAGTTTTTGTATTGGGAACACTTGGAGGTGCTACTTTATTAATATAAGCAGATGATAGTGACAAACTTCAATTATATCGAAGTAAACCTACTCCATTAATTATCGAGGGGGAGGTAGCTATGATAATTTGAAAGCAATAAATCAACAACTTTTGAAAGCTTTAGGGTTTTCTAAATTGCACAAGAGCATAAGTGGTATTCCGATTGATCTGGACCACCTTATTTGCTCCTACTAGTTAACAGATCAGAAGGGAGTAGCAAAATGTTGATGGATTATACACCTAAGTTTTCTTCGAATCAAGTTGGAAAAAAGTAACCAAGACATCGGCTGAAAGACTGTCTAGTGTCCTAGTTGATAAGTTTGACCTGCTTACATGTGTAAGCCATAAAATTACAAGGTTTATTTGGCAATTAAATGTTCAAAATGGATGCCCGCTTTTTACAAAGAAGTGTTGTGTGGATCCCTTCAATGTTATACAAATGTCAGAAACATCCTTAGAATCTTCGTGCAGGTCAAATAACTTTACACCTAGTTCAATTAATTCATCTCAGTTTACGTGGAATATTTGATATTGTGTCTTGTAGCCTCCAACGTTCCTCCTGAAGTCTATAAAAGATATTAAGACAGAACATGATTCGCTGACATACAGGAGAGTTAAGCGGCTACTGACAGCCCGGAGGCCATATCGGAGAGCAATTGTACACTGGCAGAGGCTGAAGTGTTCGCGTGACCGCAGCATTAAGTTAAACAAACTATTAAAGTATTGCACAGCCCCTCTCCCCTTTTGGGCGTCTTCCTCGGCGCTCCACTTAGTCGATCTCCCGCATCGGTTTCCACAAAGCAGTCAGTGTTGCAGGAATAACATCCTCGAGCCATCCGCTCCAGTCATCAAATTTGCGTACAATCAAGGGGATACTTGGCCGTAACGTCACCACTCCCTCTTGGCAATTCCAATGAATTTGGAGTTTTGTCCTCTTTGGAACCGGATTCGGGAAGCGGGGGGATGTGCTGACCATCGCACGTGTCCATACGTAGTCGTAGGAACACTGACCCAAAATCTGGGACATATGACGAATGCCATAACATAAATACTTCCATAAGTACAAGGTTTCTCGTCGACTCCTCCCTGCAACTTTGGTCCCACTTCAGTGGATTCTTTTCAGCTAGTAGGAAGGTAGAGGCATCGCGTGTTTCCCTAATTGCTGTCGTCATATAGACCCTGTAGACAGCTCTGTAACGAACTTTTTCCGATGGTTAATGACTTCTATTACTTCAGCTGTTAATAGCATTCCAGCAGCACGTGAAACTCGTGTAGTTGTCAAAGGTTAGCGTCATTTTCAAACCTCCTATTTGGGGACGAAGCAGATTCTCTGGTCTGCAGCACACAACCTACTTCCGTCAAGCTATGCTTCAGCATTTGAAAATAAAAATCAGGCTAGTTGACCTTCTGAATTGGATGTTCTTACCGCTACTACCGATGTGGCGCTCCGATTCTTCCCTGAATTAGTAAGAAGTCATGAGAGAATAGCGAAAGATATGTTACTGATGTATGGAAGAGCTGGGGCCACCCAGTGGAAGTGCGGTGACAGGGCCTCAAGTGTCCGCGGAACTAAAACGCAGACTTAAACAAACAACAATCAGTGTACTATACCAACCCATTCGGTTTTTTGTTATGCCTGTACCAGGCCATTTTAAAAGTTAAATTATTGCTGAAATTGTGGTTGTCAAAAAGGAAAGGCTGCTAAAACTTAACAAGCCACTTATAAATGGGAACGCTTAAATGAAACGCACTCCCACACTGACCTTAGAGGGAGGATTCGTCTTAATTTTTGTTTAATCTCGTGCCCGCTTGCTCTTCCAATATGTGATTGCTTGTTTAAGTCCTCTTTTTGGTTATGCTGACACTTAAGGCCCCGCCATTTTACTTCCGTTAAGCTGCATGGCCTCCAGGCCATGCAGCAGGCCCCTCAGCCCCTCAGTACATGGGCAGTAAATATTCTGTCCCGGTATAGCGAGGCACTATAAAAGAGTCTTGAGGTTTAACTGGTTGCAAATCTTTGTTGTACTGCTTACATTGGTCTCCTTCTTATTTATTTTTCCGGTGTAAAAAGGGAGCACAGACGTCACTACTGGTTGATATGAGGTGGATAAGTAGATCACGGATTGAAAGGCTTTAAGCGAAGAAATCTGACAGCTGCCTTCCTCTTATTGTTAGGGAGTGTTAAATTTCGTTACAAGTACAGGGGCACGCGTCTGTATTCCCTCCTCCAATCCTCTTTCTCCACCCCATGCTGCGGTCCACCCATACATCCAACAAAGGTACTGCTGAACTAGTAGACAGATAGCAAATATAATTCCCCCTTCCCTGCCTAATTTTATTCAACTCTGCTTGTCCCCACCTCATAGATTAATGCTTCTAAAATCGCGGGCAGTAGTGTGTTTTGATGTGGCAGAACAACGCACTACACTTCAATAAATAGGCAGCTTGTTCCAAATTGTCGAAGGTGGATGGAATATTGCCACTGTCTTGAACAATGCTGTAACTGAGCAGCATTGAGGGCTGCCAGTCAATATGTACAGAAAAAAGACTCCTTTCTGCCCCTCACTCTTCCCTGAATGTCGTCTCTGGCGCTCGCTTCGGTTGCTCTTCTCCGTTAACCATCATAACGCAACTGATAAGAGAGGGATGAATGGCTAAAAGGGGGAAGGAATTAAATTATTCTTGATTCTCTTCTAATATGTTTATCAGTAGGTCCTATGAAAGAAACTGGGATATCAGTTGGGGTAGCGTGTCATTTTAATTATAGATGGTTTTGCAATATTTCAACTCTCGAAGCAATGAAAATCCTGAATGTATGCCGAACAGTAAAGAATTCCAACAGCCAACCACAACGCACTATGAAATAGGCTAAACGACTGATCTAAGGGCTCACATCACACCTCAAGTAAGCAGCCCCTAGGTGTAATCGTCATGCATTTCCTTTGGAAGTTGAAATCGCTGGCATTACCACCATTGTGACATCCTAGGGAACTCTGGCGATGCTTTCGAGGGTAGAAGCGTGGAAGTATCCTTCTAAGCACACGAAGAGGTTTGACGACTGTTGGTATAGGTGTCATGCGCTGATGGGGCACACTTAAAAGCAGGCCCTATGCGTGTGTAACCCTAATCTTTATCGAGTTCTCAACCCAAACCGTCAAAGAGGTCTCTGTCCCTAACCCAAATGAGGTAGCTGGAGATATGGAGTAAGTGCACACCTGTTTGGTGGCTGGCTGTTCGATGCATAAGACGCCCTAATTTATAGTATCGCAATCGAGCTTGTCAGTTTATCACATTTTATGCCAAGTTGTGGCTACTATTGGCCAATCAGGTGGGCCTATCGAGAGTGCGAGTTTCGAGGTGCTCTGGAATGTTCGAGGATTGTGCATGGAAAAAGAGAATTTCCATAAAATCAGGCGTTTTTGCTTATATGCAGTTAAATAGTGAAGCTTTTTGACGAAATATGTGAGGAGAACTCCTACTTTGTCAGTTGCCTGACATTTATTCTCACTTGAGAAGTCGGTTAGTCTTTTTACTGAAAAATTTGTAAGTAGGTTAACACCCCACCTTTATGAGGTGATTTTTGGCATTTTGGTATTTTAATCATTGATTGAATGCCTTAAACAGAGCTACACAAATAATGCCTTCCTCAGCCTCGTGTCTCTGTGTCGGCAAAGAGAACGTCCACAACATTTACCAACCTTATCAGTCATTAAAGGGAATCTGCCTGACTTTGGCTGGTCATATGCGACCACGTCGATCATGTCGAACATGTCGATCAACCCTTTCTAACAGGCCACCTCTGTTAATTTGCAAGTCAAGAACCGGTAAATACCCCTAATTGTATAAGGCGGGGCACTAAAAACGTTGCTATATAAGCAGGAAAACCATTCTGGTGGTAGAAAGTACCCTTCCCATGTCATCGGCGTTTCCGTAACGGTGGTTTTACAAGTAAACAATCACATGGAAACGATTTAAGGATTTTCTGTGTTGACGCTGGTAAAATGGTGACTCACAGTTAACCACTCCATATATTCACCATTTGGGTTGGAGAGGAAACTCAAATACCAAAACTCAGATGCCATCTCGCCTCATTCATTACTTTACCTATTCAACAGCTGGTCAATAGGGCAACAAAAATCACCTCTGTGCGCTTTGTTGTGCCAAGTTAGAGCAATTACAGTCACCGTAGACTGGCAGGGAACACGTGTCACATATTTGTGACGTGAGAGATCTGATGAGGTGATAGGGATGGCATTTACTTCTGATGGTGGCATTGAAGGCGTTAGCTTCATTTGACTAACCAGATTAAAAGAAAAAAAGCTTTCAACTTGAAAGACATGAGCATCAAATCTTATAGTATGATCTAATTGGCTATCAGGGCAATTCAGGCGAAAATTGACCACCCCAGACCAGGAAAGAGGAAACATTCGGACTCAAAGTATATTTAATTACCTTCTCTGAAATTCGCCCTTTCTTCTATTTTCATTTCAACAATGTGATGTAATCAGCCTTCGTGAACCAATGTGAAGCATCCGTCACGTATATGTGACACTACTAGACGGCTAAAATTTTGAGTACCTTTTAAGAATCACTATCTTATTATTTCATCCATCTTACCCATTTAGGCACAAAAAGAGAGGAAAATTACCAAAGGACCGTAAATCATACATATATTCTGTCTTGACTACGCAAAGGCTCTCACGTCCACATTATAGATGCATCGATCAGAGGAGAGTGAAATTGACATATCACAGTTGACAGGTAAAACACTGCTTTGACGCAATCCTTACTAACTCGGATGGAAAGCACTGCCCCTGCACTCCCTTTGTATCCGTTTCATCAGCTTTTGCGAGCAATGGTTGAAACGTATCACTGCAGTCGCACCAGAAGGGAGATGGTTCGGGGAGGCCCTAGCAACGCGCGAAAGATCTTCCGGCTTCTCCATCTCCTTCGCCTCCGCCTCCTCTTCCTGTTCTTCAATCCGACTCGCCTCCAAACATGCCACCAGTGTTTCAATGTATGCCGCAGCAATGCGCAGGACTGAAAGTTTCGTCAATTTGCACTCACCGGAGACTGGAACTGACTTTCTCAACGCTTCAAAAGCCGCTCCAATAGTGTGCACCCTTCCTCTTTCCCTTGCATTAGCTTTAATACGCTGTTGTGCTGCTCTAGCACGATTCTTTCTAGGCAGATTGGCTGAGTACGTTGCAGCTTTTCCATTCACATCGCCAAGGAGGTTGGTGATAGAGAAGCTGTTGGATTTAGCGGTATAGGCGGAGGAAAGAACAACCATCCGTTCAGTAGGTGGGAGAGTGTATGAATGAGAGGAGAGGAGAGGCGAGGCGAGGGAAGTGACCGGACAGATGGTCGAGAGGTTTGAACAGCTGGGCGTACACACGTGCTGGGAACAGGTGTGGGTGTGTGTGTGTGTGTTTACGCGTTGCCAGGACACACCTGGACGATGGGATATGAGATGTGGGGATGCGAATGGCGTCCACACATCCCCCTACTTTCTAGCACACACGCACGCACCCGTGCGCTGAACTCGAAATGGCAGATACACCTGGTGGACGGGTGTCTGGCTGTCCGTATGTTTGAAGTCGTTCAGTTACCAAGCTGTTAGACCACCATGCCACCGGTAAGGATGATGTGGGGGAGGAGGGGGGCTACTAATTGTTCCTTGATCTGCCACTTTTTACCTCCTCTGGGCAAAGTCCTCTCTCTCGGCCACTTTTTGATTCCCCTATTAAATTATAGACTTTTCAGCTCCCCCAATGGATGAAAACTGATTCATTTTGCCATCCCCTGGGGCAAGATGGTGGCTGTAGCACTCCAAGTAGTGAACAGTTAAGCCAGCGTGTCTATATTAACGCCAAGAAGGCCTGACTGTCCAATTCCTTGACAGGATATCATCTAAGGCATATAAGAAGTGAAGTGGGACGTTATTCCCCACTTCCCCCGATCTTGCTGTAAGATTTTGTTCTCTCCTAAAAGAAGAGAGCTTTCTTACGACTGACATATGTGTCCTGAAAGGACATTTTCATCCACACTTTCAAGGGACTGGGAAGCTGCATGCCTTAGAAGTTGTGGCAAGGGGAAGGTGAGCGAATGATGTGGGGACTCACCTACCAGACGTCACAAACTCTGTTCCACCACAAATCAGTCGGTAGACAGTCATTTCTTCCCCTGATGCATTTCTACAACGCACGTAGAAGGACTTGATGTTCTTCGAATTTTTCCATTTGGCATCTTGTCAGGCCTGCCAAGAATGGCCCCTCTTCTTGAACAGGATGCACCTACCACTCCAGAGGTAGCTCCGTCATGAACTCGCCGAAGAGCTGGGAGAATGGCTGCATGAGCAGGAGGGCATATCACGAGGTAGAATGTAAAAAAAGAAGTTTCTACAAGTTCAAAACCACTTTTTAGCGGTGGCTTTCAAAATATCTTTTTTGTAACGCCTTTACATTCATTTTCAACTTTAAGACCACTTAGTGATGGGACAGCAGCACCTTAGATCAATCTGTCAGTGATAGCTGGTTTGACAGGCCTTTTGACTTGGGAGCGAATTCTTGGCCTTGAAAATGACACTATGGACAGCTGGGTTCACCTACTCGCCTCTGGAAGGGGGTAAGGAGAGACACAAGGGCGACAATGGAAGAAGGGGATAGTGGAGGTGGAGAGGTGGAGTGATGCCACGCGGGTGTGTGCACTTCAATTATTCCATTCCACCGATCCGAGTGTTTCCTCTTTCAGCCTACCTTTGTCCAGCCATCTGCCTACGAGACTATTGTTGTGTGGGGTAGGATAGGTGGGGAGGAGGGAGGGGGGCGTGCGGTCGAATTTTTATGCAAATGTAGTAGAAGGCTGTTTTCCCCTTCCATCCTCATCCAACTTCACGCCCCCCTCCCCCGTCCTCCATTCCATTTACATCTCCCAGCCGCTTTACGGGGTGAAGAGAGGTGAAAGCAACCTCTCCATTCCCCCGCGCAGCTCCCACTCGTCTCGCCTTACTCCCGCTTAGTGGGTTGATACCCCTTGGCTGTGGTTGTTGATGTATACGCGGCGGTGGAACGACGCTCCACTCTTCAACAAATTGTCAGCCAATTCCAACTCGTCTCTCCAAATTGTCAACACCGCACAGAGTGCGCCATCAGAAGACACAGGCAATGGCTGGCAGCTGACACTTTTGGCCGCTGATTGAAAGATTCCAGTCGGAGCACTTATGACGTCTTGGCTGTCGTACTGTGGAAAGAACAATCTCCTTGAGCATTAACAGAATTGACGGAAGCGAGGTTGTTTACGCGGCACGTACTGTCCACCGTCGTGACACCTCTGTTAACGTCAAGAATTATGGAAGATTCACTGTAACCGTTTGACCTTTCCTTCCCAATCCTCTATCCACCACGTTGCATTTGGATGCACAGTTGGAATCGTCAACGCACTGACAAAGCATTTTCCACTTTGCTCCATCCATTCCACGTTGCACGGCGGGGAATCAGCGTAGTCGATGCCAATCAAAGCCACTGCCTATTAAATGCTGAAGAACTAAGAGAGTTGTCTCGAATAAGACGAGTAAACTCCTGTAATCTAAAGAGACAAGATTAATTGACGCTGGAGACACCCTAAACCACCTTCAAACTGCCATTGGGAGCACCTCCCAGCAGTTAACGCGTAGACGTCAACGTGGAACCAGAGAAAGCCACACGAAATTGACGTGTGCGAGTTCCACCGACGAGAAAGCGAATGCAACAGGTGCCACACAGCTTATGACAAACGTCAGACAGTTTATTCGTTTCACCTTGTTCACTCTTCCCGTACAACCTGACAAGGGTGTGAGGAGGATATCCGAATGGACAGCCAATCAAAGCATCATGTGCTATTGTTTGTCCATTAAGTAGATTGTGGGGTCAGTCCAACCCAGACACCATTAATCGGGACACCAGTGGTAATGGCCTAGTGGATGCGGCAGCATGGAGTGATAAATGAAGGTCAAAAACCTACGGTTTCCTTCGCATTGAGGAGGTCTTCAAGCACAACGCGAGGTACGGTGATGGAGTGCTGAAGTTCTCAACAGCCTAAGACTTGTCATTTTCAGCTCCACGACACCAGTGATTGTGACAGCTCAATTTTAGCGGCGACATTCTCAGCCCGCTTAGATGCCAGACAGATGCATAACCTGTGGTGAAAGTGGGCAGGCAGATAGTCCTTCCGTGAGATCAGGGCATGAAGCACAGCAATTTCTTGCTTTCCGCATCGATGATGAGGTGAAGTAGCACCTCCTAGGTCCTTTGGAAGACCCATAATTATGGATGTGGGTCCTAACCCTCCCAAGTGATTTGACTCTCCCCTTCTCCATGCCTCTCCACATCCCTCTGGAGGAGTGGGTGTGTGTGTGTTTCAGCAATCCCATGCCACTCGAACCAGGTGTTTCCTTTCCATCTCTCTGTGTTATTAAGGTGGGTGAACGAATGGTTGCAGATGTCATTGTGGGCATGGCAACACAGCTGCCTAATTGTCGGGTGAATGAGTGACTAGGAGGGCTGTTAGGATACCTCGCCCCGGGGCTCCGATCGTCTCTCTCACTCTCTCCCCGCCTGAACCATTGCTATTTCGATAGGAATGCCAGCTGACTTGAAGACCGTTTTACTTTGTTGATAATGCTGACTCTAAACAGATGTTGGGAGGTGGATGGGAGGGAGGAGGATTTGGGCGAGGAAGGTAGGTTGGTGGGAAGAAGATACCGCACGGGTCCAAATATGTCTCCTCTACCAGGTAGGGTGAGTGAATGCGGATGTAACCCGCCTTGTGTGCTAACAAATTAATTGTTAGATGCTTTACAGATAAGAATTGTTTACGCGTCCCCACATTTCCCCTTCCCTCCCCCAATTAGCTAGTTGCCATGGTTAAGCGGCGCATAATTTTGGTAATTTTGGAGTGGTCGAACACAATTTGCGGTACACTCAGATGACTCCATTAGCGTATGGGCTTTAAATTAAACACCATCTAGACAAAATGCCACCGCTTGAAGTCGTTTGAAGGTTTTTGACCAATTCCACGCATGTGGCCATCAAACTTGAGGTCATGGGTAGAGTGATGCAATCGTGTCACATTCCACGCATCTAGCAAGATCTACAAATGAGAATACCTCACCTTCAGTAGAAGATTCTTGCATTTAATACATCTGGAGCGTGGAATGTTCACACGTGGATGACCGGAGAGCTCACAGCACGGTAAGGGTCAAAAACTGATGTTCATCTGACCGCTGATTGGAAAGTACTAAGCAACGAATAGTGGAGGTCAACCTACCTTAATAGCAGTTGGATCAAAGAAAAAGTGAATGCAGCCAACACACGAACACTTCCACTAGGATGTAATTCAGTAACTGCTGTAGTAGTAAATTCATTGACGTAAACGATGTTTCAGACCCTTTCGATGATCAGAAACACCAGCTCGCCAATGTAGGACCCAGAATTTTCGGTATTCGGCCAATCGTCGAAAAGACGCACTAAAAGTGAGTCATGAATTCTCTTGCACCGCTTTTGGGGATAGGTAAACAAACGATCACTTCTAGTCCTCTGTGTGGCAGGCCATCTGGACGAATTCGCATGCAAGTGATTAATGGCGCCACCAATTCTGGGTGAAGGCTCGAGGTGCACTACGTCTAACTTTCACAACTTCCGCACACCTTCAGCCATCAGTAATACCAACATTCCTTGATAAAGTTTATTACTATTTTTTTTCATCCAATGCCACTTTATGGAAGGCTGTTTCTTTGGTTTGGTTTTCCATTCTCCGACTACGTACCAGAAGGAATGGAAAGCCGCAGTTATGGTATCGCCGCTAGATCCAGATGATTTGGTAGAACCGGCAACTCGAATAGAGAGGAATGTGTTTCCGTGTTAATGACCCTGTTGACAGGTATGTATGTGTGTGCGCACCCCGATTGTGTGGTTGAGAGAGGAAAGAGGGGGGGGGGGAGTTGCAGGTAGATTTGACGGTGTCGAACAGGTGTGGCTTTCAGAAATTCCATTCCACCTGATCCAGGTGTTTTCTCTCCGTTGCTGTCTGCATCTGTCCGCCTGAATGGGCACACTCGTCCGTATTATTGGGAGGAAGGGATGGATGCAGATGTCACGGGAGTGTGGATTCACAGCTGCCTTGTTGCTGGGTTGATAGTGCGGTAGTTGCACAAACATCGTCACATCCAACCGCTTAGTCCACTGTCAATACAAAGCCACGCATTAGTCTGCGTCCAATTTCGAGATAGTAATTTGCTTGCACAGCAAAATTGAGAAGCCCGTTGGGATACTACTTATTTGACGAACTTGCAATTGAGTAGCACTACAAATGAGTAAATGTACTTCAGCAGAAAAACACCGATCCCGAATATCTTTTCCAGCAGGAATACGATAATGGCAGTCAATAAACAAAAGAGAGGGACCAAGAGGGCAAAAACATGCAAGCTGGGTGCACATATTCGTAAACGTCGACGTGAATGGGGGGAGGGGAGGGAAATTCCTTCCCGAGTAACCCTCCGTGAGTAAACTGAATAAGCCTGAAGTTGCTCCACTTCCTTCACGAAGGCCAAATCCGACTACAGGCACAACTATGAGAGAAGAACCAGCTCTCCAAAAGCAGGTGAGATCATAGGGAAAGGGAATATACACATTGTTACCTCACCTTTTTCGGTAAACTGCATATCAGATGAGCTTTGAAACAACTGATAAGGGAGCAAGTGCTCAAGGACTCAAACCCAATAACACCTTCCTACTCCAAATTAAAAAGTGGTAAAACCAATTCAAGTCAAAACACAGCCCACTTTAGCCTTTAAATCACCAAAATAGGAAAGCATGGGGTAAAATTACAAAGGTGCTCATATATTCACAACTATATACACGTACATCACAGCTACATCTCAACGTGGTCGCATTTTCTTCTGATTCATTGCCCTTCTCTTCGCAGCCCGCTTCTCCTTGATCGGTTGATCAAAGTGCAGATTACCTCTCTCCTCATCCACCTCGCTATCAGTATCGCTTTTGACCTCTGCCGCGTTCTGCCCCTCGCTCCCCTCCATTGTAGTCCGATTGTTTCGACGCTGCTGTTTCCTTCGCCGCATCGCCTCCGCATACGCCGCTATCCCCGCCGCTCCACTAGCCCAGGACTGATGAGCCAGTTCTGCCTCGTCAATGGCGTCAAATTCATCGCCATCGTTGCCCTCTCCTTCAGAGGAGGAATCAATGGAGTAATCTTCCCTTTTTTTCTCCTCCTCTGCTAGCCTACGAGCCTCTTCCTCACGAATAGCCTAAAATATGAGTACGAAAATATTTACTGCTGAAATCACATGAGCAACCGATTATTGGTAAGAACCCAAATCACTTTTGCAGCCCTTGACCATGCTTCTTCGGCCAGGCGTCTCCGCGTTTCCATACCAACTTCACCATCGGATTGTTTCCCCTTCTCTGGGGGAAGTTGATACGGCCAACGCGGAATACAGCGTCGCGGTTCTCTCGGCTTCGTGGGGAGGAGAACAGATTCAAGATCGAGGTAGGCTTTTCCCTCATCACGGGTCACTATAGTAACGGCAATGCCGCAGCGACCAGCTCTAGCTGTGCGACCAACGCGGTGACGGTAGGACTTGGTGGTGAGAGGGACGCCATAATTGATTACCAGAGCTACGAAGGGTAGATCCAGGCCACTGGTGAGTGAAGAAATAAAAGAATCCAAATCCGAAACTTGAACAGATAAACAGCATACTTAAGTAAAATAGGGAAAAATCTGATAACACCTAATTTATTTGAAAAAATAGCGTTTAAATGAAAACACGCATATCAAGCAGCCTACTGATAAATTGTCAGTAGCAATAATCAACATGCGCAGCCATCAAAAAAAACGCACCGACTAGCCACGTCCGTTGCGACCAAAATATTCGCCTTTCCCGCTACAAATTCGGCTAGTACACGGCGTCTCTCCACTTGTTTCATTTTTCCCATCAGTCCTACCGCCCGATAACCACGCTCCACCAAAAATGCCGCCAAAAAACGCGTCTCATGGCAACGAGCGCAGAAGACTAGCGCCTGAACATCGCCCTTCTTCTCCAATAGCCACTCAAGGCACGCCAGTTTGTCAACTCTACGAGTTGGCAAGCAGTAATGACTCAAGCCAGCTGGTAAGTCAACAGTGATGATGGGTTGTGATTTGGAGAGCATTTGATTGGAAGTGGTGGAGGTGCAAATAACAGCATCCCTGCGAAGCGCTACGCGACGCAAACTTCTCACATCTTTGTTCATCGTAGCGGTGAAGAGGTAGGTTTGAGGATGAGGATACTTGGTTCTCTTCATGCCGAGAGTCACAGATTCTTGTGGAAGTGAAAGAAAGGATAAATTTAACTCAGCTACCACCCTTGGCGAACTCGCGCCCGATGAACTTGCTGAAAAGGTGGTCAAAGCGGTTCTGGGCATAACTTCAAAGTCGAACGCATTGTCTTCAACCTCAAAATTACTACTCCTGATACAAAGCAGAGCATTTTAAAATGCCGACTGACAGTTGCGAAGATGTTGGGTAGATAAGAAAATAAAGAAGATATCGCGGTCCGGCAAAAACCTTTCACACGAGATGAAGCCTTCAAGCATGCAAGGGAAGGAAAGTGCCTCAAACTGCCAGATGACCAAGAGATCACTTTCGTAGTTGATATAGGCCACTGGAATGAACTGCGCCCAAAAGCACAGATCCAAATGCACCAGTTCGTGGGTGCAACGCGCCAATATGCTCTCGGTTATTCATTTCCCAGCTCATTTGAGCCCATTCAGTGTCAGCATCCGTCGGACGAACCCGACGCGCATCATGTGTGTCCACATTGCAAACCGAGACCGACTCGGCGCCCTTGCCATTAAGGCTTCTCGTCAACTCTATCGTACAGCATTTGGGGTAAAAAGCGGCAACAGAATCCACCGTTAACTAGGGACTTGCAAGAGTAATTCGAGTGGTAAATCCCCAAGGAATGGATGTACTATGCTCACAACCCCACCTCACCTCTAATCGTGGAGGACTACATGTTGCTCTTTCTTGATACTATTTGCTGGGAATGCGTCATACAGTTGATGATGAGGCAACTGAAAAGCGGCTGGGTGAATTGGCGGCATGAGTCGGCAGACACTTCTGCTACATTGCAAACACACCCCTTCGTCAAAGAACCGATTAACTGACTGGCTGTCTGCCTGGCGAAATGGCTTGTGATGATGCACTTCATCGTTTATTAGGTGGAAGAGCTTGTCATTGGTTATTCTCAAACCGCTGACTACCTCATTACCCAGGAATATGTCTGCCTTGCATTCATGCGGTGCACCCCACACACAGTTGTTCACATGTGGAAGTTCGGATCACGACTACACTACATTCGAGATCTACCTATCTGCTCCACAGAAGTGATCAATCGGTCGATGGGGAGAAAGTATCATTTCTATTACTACAGGAGAGAACGACACCTCCCATCACAAACTTTGCTAGTACGAAGGTGTGGGCTCTAACTAGGACAGGAGAGGAAAGGAGTGAGATGCAGCCTCACCCTCACACTCCCCCGACTCATACTTCTCTACGTAGTTATGCAATTTCTCTGGGCTCAGACAATCGCGTGATTGCACGCAAAAGTATCTACGGATCCCAAGAAAAAAACCATTTAATAAAAGTTAGTTCAGCAATTAACCTAGATTCCTCTGGAGAAGAGCCATCGCTTGTAATGAAAGGTGATTCAAGGAGAAAACCATCTTGAGGGACGTGACAATCGGGCCTTACTAATACACTACTAAAATGGAGTAGATATAAAAGGCGAGGATGTCAGAAGAACTAAACCCGTGTAGCACAACGAATTAAATCTTTATTTCCGCTGCAAAATATCCAATACCTTCCCTGATTATGACACCAGCAAGTCCTCCGGCAAAACTACACCTTCGTTTCCAAAAACGCCAAAAATAATCTCTTATCGGGAAGTAAAAGACCCACATAGATGGAAGATGCGTAAAGGTTAGGCTCTGTTATTTCGTAAAGTAATAGGTTGTTTTACTGATGACTACACTCGGAGTAAGGAGGGGACCCAAATGATTTCTGCTAGCAAAACAAGTCGCCCATACAATTTAAGCACAACGTTAGCCAGGTTTCCCAGATTAACTGCGAAAAATAAACGACGGAAAGACAAGACTCGCACACTTGTTAAATTTGGATGTAAATAAAAGTAAAGGTCACACGATGAATGACTAAATGGTCGAAATAAGTAATGAGTAACTCCATGAAAAAAAGTTGAGAAAAAGCATTCCCTACCCTCAATATGCCCTGATTCCACCTCAGCCACCTCTTTCGCGCGCTTTTCGAGGAATGTGTCACCCTTAGCTCCTCGTCTACCTAAAGTTGTCGGCCTTTCGTAGAGGTTCAACAGCAGATCCAGATCATCAGCAAACTCCAAACTGAGCATTCGATCGGCTTCATCGAGGACAAGGTGCTTAATAGTGGAGAGGTGGTGAAGCGCAAATCCAGACGACTGTTTGATGTGCTCCGCCAGACGGCCTGGTGTAGCTGAAAAGGGCAAAGCAACAGACAAAGTAAACGCAAGATGAACTGGCTGAGGAGCTGTATTGAAATCAACAAAGTATAACAAAAATGTAGAAACATGAAAACACAACCGATTCATTGATTTCAACATAATGAATGTTTTAAAATGATCGCGTTGGTCAATAGAGATGATTATGATTATGAATGAAACGCTTCGGGCAGCATGAAACTATAAGTCGCTGAAACTAACAGCTAGAAGGTAGTAAATGGTATAGTGTGGTATTTGATTAATTTGGGTGTTTTTCCACTTTAAAAGATATCGGCGTCTTGACCGCATATTTGTTACACAAGAAGCAATCAAGTTAAATTGAGGCTTGAGCCTACAAAAAAGAGAACCACTCTCAAGGAGTAAAAGTTGCAGCCATTTTTCGAACCCGTTACCTGGCAAATTTACACACATCACAACGGATAACAAACTACAAAGGGCAGCCTTAACACAGATAAACTATTACCTATGGACCCAATGTACATTGGCCAACTTTGGTTAGGCTAGTTACAAGCTGACAAGTGCAAAAATTCAGTTATCAGTTATGCTAAATAATGTAGAGTAAACGATGAAATAGCCGTTTTGAAGATTAGGTACGGACACGTGCACCAAAATACACACGAGTGCATGAACCACAGGGGTTACAGAGTGATTTGCTCATAGAAATAGAACTCAATGAGATACGGTTGGGGACTTAAAAAAAACACCGTGTACTTCGTAGATGACAGCCGTGCATCAAACTTACCGACAATGAAATGATGCCGACACCAAGCTAGAGCGACGGCCTGATCCGCCGCGCACACACCACCAATCAGTAGGGAAACATTAAGAGGATTACCGATCTTCCCATCCTCATCACTGAAATTGCTCATTATCACGTTTGCTGTATCCGTTATTTGAAGTGCTAGCTCTCTTGTTGGAGCCAAAACAAGAGCATAGCCTTTCGGTCGACCGGAGCTCAACCAATGCTAGAACAATGAAACGACGAAGAATTAAACTTTAACCAAACAACAGCAAGTAATTTGAGGTACTCTACTTGTAAAATTGGGAGAAGGAACGCTGCCGTTTTGCCAGATCCCGTTTCTGATGTCCCAATGATATCATTTCCTACAAGCAGAAAGGAAGAGTAAAAGGCATTGGTTCGAATACCCTTTAACGACGGTGGGATTGATGACACCTGAATGGGCAACGGGTTCTTCCAGCCCAGATCATTACAACATTTCGTGAGAGAGGCGCATAAACCCAAGCTCAAAAAGTCACCCATCACGCCGAATACAACAATTAGAGCGTGATTTCGAATGAAGAGCTTCAACAACAGTACATCCGAATAAACCACAGGGTTTATTTAGCGTTTCTGCAAGTAAAATCATTTCTAAGCACGATATCTGTTAAATGATTAATATACTAAGCACTATTTGACAGGTTTCGACCTTTTTAACTACGGATTTGTGATCTAGTGGAAGGAAAGCAGTGGCCAACTGGGAGTTCACAACTTTTGAATTTCTGTTGCTGTGAAAGGTGACATGCTAGTTTTTATTGCATTGGACTCATTTTTTAAAACTCTCATTAGGGGCTCCGTTATTGTATCTCTACCGGGTGGGCTGTCCTCCTAGCCAAGCCAGAAGAACAAAAACCCACTGTATCGCAAATATGTACATTCTGCCCTAGCATTATGCTGTCTTTTTTAGGTAGAAATCTCAACGTGCCATGACAAAGTATCGCAATTATTTGCTCAACTCGGAACCTAATAATCAATTCATACAGTTTACAACAATGCTATTATCATATCACAAACGCAGTGCAAAAAATTTTCCACACATTTTGTGAGTTGCTTCCCTGGCAATTTTAAAAATTGCGCACATTTGCATGGGCACTATGTAATTTTTAAAATCATAACAAGACTTGCAGGGATTTAAAAGACTAGTCATCAGTGAACGGTAGTGTGAGCTATGCATCTTCCTAAAATTTGTATCAAGACAAGTCAGTTTAAACGATATTCTGTGGCATTTTGAAATCTACGAGGCATAGAAAGAGTCACAGGATTAAAGTAAATATATTTTTTAGTGTATAGGAGTGCTGAGCGGCCACTGGCATGTCTAAGTCCATCCTGATGTGAAAAACCACAACTTGCAAAGACGTGTCTCGGGGCGCTAAAACAGCAATAGACTGGAGGCTAGGTCGTATGGAAATGGTACAGCGGCGGAGATCCAAAAATCTCTTTGTCAAAATCAAAGGCCAGACAAACAAATGAGCTTTACAAAGGCATGGTTTTAGTTTATTTTGGTCTGCAGAACATACGCTTTCCGAATTCAGGCACGTCAGGAACTTCGCATTCTGCCACTCAGACATGTCTGTGACCATTTAGCCCTTATGTGCGCCTTTTATTTTTGAACTTTTTGCTATTTATTAGGGCCTTTTAAAGGTATATACATTAAAATGCTTGCAAATAAGACCAAATCTTTGCACATGGTGGCTGCTAGAATACAAACTTCTAAAAAATTAAAGTCAGGGTAGAACAGCATGTTAATTTGCAATTTTAGTCCTTTGTAACAAGATTTATTGTATTTCATTTTACATTTGAAATTAAATAGGGAATAGTTAGCACGCCCCAGGTCATCGAAAGGACACGACGACATTCCTAACATCTTTAGGCCAGAATTTGACCTGATTAAGTGCTTTACTAGCAGAAAAACTTTTGTTAACAATTGTTTGCCCAACGTTACACAATTTTTTTAATTGCCTAATTTATTGCACCGGATCTGACGTCACACAACTTTTATTTTAATCTTTCGATTCATTGTACTGTCTAGGCCACGCCAAATACGCGTGTATCGTCTCTGTTCACCCAATGTGTGGTGAGTCAAATTCAAGTGTTAATTTTCTTGCTTGATGGCAATCCTAATTATCTTCGTAACAGATTTTTTGGCTTTCTTTGCTAGCGTTGCGGTAGAAGCCTTGTTTAATATGGCTTTATTATATGTAACGTAAATGATTATTATGCACAATTTTAAACAGTGGGATAACGATTAATAGAGGAATTTTCTGCTGCCTAACACATTGCAGCATTTTCTAGTGGTGTTTGTGTGTATAAACCTTAATTTGGGATCATAAACCAGTTCATTTCCGATTTTTTAAGGAATTTTCGCATACCTGAATTACAACACTCCGGTATCGAGAAAGCAGATTTCCGAAGTCCTCATTAATGGGCTTCGCCGTCTTGAATACCGTGGCTATGACTCAGCTGGAATCGCCATTGATGAGGATTGTGTGAAAGCCAGTGGTGGATCTGACAAGGAGAACGCTAGTTCTGCAAATGTTCTTGTTGTTCGAAATCCGGGCAAAGTTGAGGAATTGAGCAGGGTTGTTAAGGGTATGTGTGGCGTTCATTCGTTATTTTTTATTCCTTTTTGTGTTTTAGCAATGCTTGAGGGGAAACACGACGATCCGATTTTCGAAACCCATGTGGGCATTGCTCACACTCGCTGGGCCACTCACGGCAAGCCCAGTGAACAAAACGCTCATCCCCAGTCGTCGGATTCTACTAATGCTTTTACCGTTGTTCACAATGGAATCATCACTAATTTTAAAGATCTGCGTTCCCTTCTGGTACGAAAGTTATCGAACTTTTTATTTGATGTGCTTTGTACTTTTAAGATTAAAGAGTTTTTTTTAAATTTACTTTGTGTTAGGAGCGAAAGGGCTTCGTTTTCGAAACCGAAACTGACACAGAGGTCATTCCAAAGCTGATGCTGCATCTCTATAGGCGCAACTCGAGTCTTACCTTTGAACAACTCGTCGAACTAACCATCCGAGAATTGGTTAGCAATGTTTATTTACTTATTTACTTGTCATCTTTGAAACAGTTGCAGTCAGTGGCATTGAGTCATTACACACGTGTTGTTTACTTAATTCAAACACATTCATTACCATTGGCTAAATTCGTAAACTCTAAGGCACAAATGCGCCAGTACTCTAATTTCACAATATGCGTAGACGTGTCGCATTAAACACGTCTTTCAATCATGCCAAATTATTTATCTCGCATTCCTTTAATCAATTCACTCTGCTCTCGACGATATAGTCACTTATCATATGAACATGCTACACATTCTCCACGGAGACTGTTGTTTCTCCTTCAGTGTCACATAAACAGATGGTTCTTATAATGGCGCCAAAAATTTTCCACAAGCCTAACGGGAATAGTTTTCAGCAACGCTCCACGCCACTCATCCACCCACGCAGAAAGCCTTCTCTTTTGATAATGGCACAGTGAGTTGGTGAGTGCATTGAGATCCTTCAACGTTTGCGTAGTGCAAAAGCTGTAAGCAACGCTCATATACGACTTCAATCAACGGTGAATAAGCTGTGCAAATTTATGCCCCGCCTTTTCCAAATAATCTGTGTATGATTGTACACATGACTCGCTCCACTTGCTTTTTTCCACCTTGAAGTTGAGCGACAATGCCACCTATGAGATGTGGTTGTACTTGTGGAGGTTATTTCATGAATTGAGCGTGTGGTCATCTTCATTTTCTCTTTCATCTACGATACCTTCAGTGCCAGTGGGCATAATCTCTGATTGGTTGGTTCACTTGATTAACTCCTTTGGTGCCACCATTCAACGTCAATGTAAAGTCAGGTTTTTTCGAGATTTTCTGATGTTGATTGGTGCTTCAGTTTGTGTTCTTATAAGAAAAAAATTGTATTCTACTTTGAGATAGTTGACAGTTAGTGGAAAAGAGGATTATTCTGATAGCGTGTAGTTCCCACACTTATAAACCATCTTTTCTGCTAAATAAGGAAGTTTTTGCCACATAAATGCCATTTAACCACGGTATCAGGGTCTTGGGATCCGGACCGACGTTACTTGTTCACATCACAGTATATGTCAAATAATATCAAATGGGAAATTAAGTAGCTTTGCAGTAGACTTTTCTCCATTGACGAGAACAAAAAGTGTGTTTTAAGGTCCTTTAGGATGCGTCATCTTGGGGGCTTGACATTACTCACATCACTCCACGCCGTGCCCCTCCTTATCGCCTGCGTCTAGGAGACGGGGTGGAATAAATGAACCATGACCTTCGTCAGGCCAGGTGATGCCGGGTTGTATGGCTCCTTCACCTTACCATCTCGTCTTGTTATGATCAAATTGGAACTCGGTTAATTCTCCGAGTTGTCTCATTCCCATGTCCCCCTAGCAGCCCTTCTGTTGTGAGCCTTCGTAGATTTAACCATCCACATCATGCACCTCTCTCTTAAAGGAACTAGCTGATCTGTTTGGAGGAAAGCTTGACCCAAGATACTAACATAAGGTGAAGACTTCTAAAATGCGGATTAGGGTAAGGGGGAAGAGACTGAAAGAGGTCTGGGTAATTTTAAGTGCCCATGGTAACTAGACAGGAGCCACGAAACGATGAATTTCGTTGGTTCATACGTCGTTAACTTGTGAAGATTTGGCTTTTCATCTTCATTGGATAGATCTTCGGCTTATTTGTCTCACACCTTATGTCTTGCAGTTCTCATCCCTCAGCGAGAATAAACGAGGTAGAATAACCAGCTCAGGTTGTAAATTATGTTTCGATGCAACCTTGGTCGGTACTTCTCCCTTAGTTTGATAACCTAACCTTGAACATGAGTCACCAGTCGCTTGGGTGACAGGTTTGAAAGATGTGGCGTAATGTGTATTCTACCCTTAGTGTTGTCATAAAGGGACTCTTTTTTCTCGCCTTTATTTGCCCTCAAGATGTGCAATCAATTTGATTGTGCAATTTCTCGTTCTCATCATGTGGTGATGAGTGGGAGAAAACCTCAAATCTAATTCCTCTATTAGTCTTAGAGCTGTTTCAGATGAGAAACGGGTAAATCTTACACTCACATTCATCTATCCCTCTACCCTTTCAACTGTTGGTAACCCGGTCTCCTGGGCCTGTTGTGAATTCGCCTCTTCCCTTGCTTGTGACTGTCATCATTTAAGCATCTTAATTGGGCTATTTCAACAATTTGGGTCTGGAAATCCAATCATGGTCTACTACGGGAGAGAGTGCTTCATGCCATTACCAAGCAGACTTACCGCTGAACGTGAACTTGTGTTTGCAGCTCTAACCATCTAGTATGCGAGGAAACGCTGTCCCCTCACCTCTGGTGCGACTGACGTGCAACTGTTGCGTCCAGCTTCACATCTGGGTGACAACTCCGAAAGTGGAGCGCAAAACCCAAGCAGCTTGCCACCCGGAGTCATATTACACGCACGCACAGACTCGGCCACTTCCCATTTATGCATCCATTTGTTAAGGCCAGTTGTGCGCTGCAACAATACTAAACTCTACACACCTTTAAAACTATTTCGTGCCTTACTTCACACTGTGCTTACAAATGCGCAACAGCAGAAGTGATTGACACTTGAACAATTAATTATTCCTTTTTTCACTCTTTTTCGCAAAAGTGTGCCTTTTGAGGCCGCTTCTCAAAAACAAGAACTGCGATTTCGATTTGTTGTTCCTTAACTGTCAATTGATTTTGACTACCCCCTGTAAACCACTTTTTTGTGCTACATAAAACCATGATTGTGATTTACGTGATGTGGTAAGGGTCCCTCCCTTTAATTCACATTACCCTTTTTGCCCACATAGTTTGGATAATTAGAGAGTGCCAAGGAAATCCATTTTCTTTTATCTTTTTTTTCTTTTCATTTTAGGACGGCTCCTTTGCTTTGGCCTGCAAAAGCCGTTATTACCCTGGCGAGATTGTCGCAACACGGTGAGTCCTTAATTCTTCACGTCCTCATTTATAACAGCATTCCTTTAAAATGACCACTTTTAACTTGGACATTGAATAATAACGTCTACTTATCAATTGTAAGCAAACATCTTGTTTATGCCTCTAGACGTGGCAGCCCCCTTCTACTTGGCATCAAGAGCCAACACAAGTTGACAATGGACCAAATCCCCGTTTCATATCCTACAAAAGGTACCTTTAACGTTTCTATACTGCCTTTTCATTACTTGAGCTTTTTAAAGGGGTATCAGAAATAGTTTGATGAGAAGTCAAATCGCTCTTCAACTTACATAAACCTTTTTCTTGGGCCGTAGAAAGCGAAAGTATTTTTACAAGATTAGTACAAATTACACAGGTATGTCCGGTCATCATCGCGATTTGAGGCCAGTGTCGTAAGAGATGCAAAATTGCATGATGTGAATTATTCCCACCTCAATGCATTGACTCACAATGGCTTTTTTGGCGCCTCTTGAATGGCAATGCCGACCCCATGCCTTTTGCTATTTAGATCGATGGGGATCAAAGTGCTTTACCGATTTAGCCGGTGGAGATGAAGAAGATGCATATTTTTTGAGCCATAGACCCACAACGCCTCAACAAAACCCCGATTATCATCTGTCGGCCCAGTCAGATAAGAAGGATATTGAATTTTTCCTCTCATCCGATGCGAGGTAAGTTTGTGGAGGCCTGTGCCTCCTGTGCAGCCTTATTAAGCTATAGTGGTGCAAAAGAATGTTTTATCATTAATATACAAAAGGACTGTTGGTGAGGGCTAGGTTTTGTGACAACTTACAGAGGCTTGTTAATCTGAATTGACTCAATCTTTGCTCCGTCTGGCAGCGCAGTCGTAGAACACACAGATCGGGTGATCTACCTGGAGGACAATGATATCGCAGCAGTGCGAGCTGGAACCCTCTCCATCCACCGAATCACTAAAACGGCGAATGAACCCTCCGTTCGTGATATTGTCACTCTGCACCTCGAAATTAAGGAAATTATGAAAGGTAATGCGGTTGAGCAAGGCTTGCTCAACCTATTTTAGTAGCAACGTGGTAGACAATGAAGTATTTCTGGGCGCTGGTAGTCTCTGATGCTTGAGGGCTATAATGATATGTTCCAATCGTACTTTGTGGCAAAATTCACCTAAAATCTGCGTCAGGAATGGAAGTATCATGCCAGCTGACCATAATTTCCCTGGGATAAGTTGGGACCCGCTGGTATTTGGTAGTGTCTTCTTGGTAGTAGTCATTATCCAGAGCTCAAATTTGGGCCTCAGGGAAGTTGACGTTGTTTCAAATCCTGAGCACTGGGTTGTCGGATGGACAGCAAATCCCCCCTATTGTAAAGTTTAGGTATAACGATATAACAAATGCTGCACTCTGGTCATCCACGGAGGTCAAGCTGTAAGAATCGGTAGGGAGGTGTATTATTAGTCTACAGAAAGACAGCGGAGCGTTTCGATTTTATTCGAGCTCGATCCTCAAGAGGTGAACGGGATATCAAGAAGGGTTGTGGTGACCCTCTCTTTTCAGGTAGTAAAAGGCAGGCTTGCCTTTCTAAGATAGGTTTACCAGCCCAGTTACAAATATCGGATTTGTGAATTTGGTTAAATCCGGCAAAACAATATCTACTTAAAATACATCAGTATAAATATTTTTATTGCGCGTATTTATGCAGGTAGCTACGACTACTTCATGCAGAAGGAGATATTTGAGCAACCCGATTCCATCCTCAACACCATGCGTGGACGGGTGAACTTCAACGACATGACTGTTGTCCTGGGTGGTATCAAGAATAACCTCGTGGACATTAAGCGAAGTCGTCGATTGATGTTCATCGGGTGTGGAACGAGCTACAACGCCGCGGTCGCCGTTCGTGAGTTAGTCGAGGAGTTGACCGAACTTCCCGTAATGGTGGAACTGGCTAGTGATTTTCTGGATCGTCTTACACCCGTCTTCCGTGACGATGTCTGCATATTTATTAGCCAGTCTGGAGAGACGGCGGATACACTTCTGGCATTGAGGTACTGCCTCAAACGCGGCGCCATGACTCTGGGCATCACCAACACAGCGGGATCAACGCTGTCACGGGAGACGGATTGCGGGATTCACATGAATGCAGGACCGGAGATTGGTGTGGCTAGCACAAAGGCACGTGTCTGGTGGTGTCTTAAGTTTTGTCTTGGGAATCACTTCTCAACACAGATGTGTGCTGCCAAGTCTAGGTGTCACTTTTTCACTCCTTTCTGCATCATATGCTAGACTAATCGATTCCACCACCGATGTAATTGCAGACTCGAGTTCACCGATGAAAGTTGCTCATACCCTTTATCTTTGACCTCATTTAGGCATACACCAGTCAGATCATCGCCATGGTGATGTTTGCTTTGGTTCTGTCTGCCGATAGAATCTCGTTGCAGGAGCGGAGAAAAGAGATCATCGAAGCACTTAGTCGGCTGCCAGGTTGGTTGACATTTTATAAAAAATATTCAACCTATTCCTTGGTACCCAACAAACTAAGGTGATAATCTACTTATAGAACAAGTTGACTCCATTCTACACAAGGATGATGAGATTGTCAAGATAGCCGAGGATATGGTAAATGCACGAAGCATTCTTGTATTAGGTCGTGGCTATCACTATGCGACATGCTTGGAAGGGGCCCTGGTAAGATTGTCTGCCAAATTACTCATCTATTCATCCTTCCCTGACCTGTTCATCTATCCTCTGCTCATTTATCTCGAAATCATTCCTTTGCATTAGCTCTGTCCACCACTCGACTCAAATGTTTTCACTTATCTGTCCATCCTATATTTACTTCCATTCAAATTTATCTCCATGCTTTGTCTCTAGAAACTCAAAGAACTGACTTACATCCACGCGGAGGGCATAGTGTCGGGTGAGTTGAAGCACGGACCCTTGGCAATGATTGACGCCGAGATGCGAATCATCATGGTTGTCACCAAAGATCGTCTCTATGAGGCAAGTCATCCGATCGCTCGGACCTCCTTAATGGATTAAAATAGTTTAAACGGACTTCTCATGCTCCGTCTTCTTCTTCTTCTTCTAGAAAGTTCTCAACGCTCTTCACGAAGTTCATTCACGTCAAGGAAGCCCCGTTCTGATCACAAACGAAGATGTAGCTCCACACTTGAAGAAGCTTGCAAAAAGGATTTTTGAGATACCTCATACTGTTGATTGTTTGCAGAGCATTCTGGCTGTCATTCCACTACAACTACTCGCCTTCCATGTTGCTCGAATGAAGGGACTTGATGTAAGTGAAAGTTATTTGGCTAAAAACGCCTCTGAAACGAAAAATTTTGCCGTTAGTAATCACATGTATTCTTGCATTTCAGGTTGACTGTCCAAGAAACCTAGCCAAATCGGTTACGGTAGAGTAGAAATTCGATGGAAATACTAAATGATCAGAACCAAAGTCCCTTTGCGTTACTCTAACTTCCTCCCTAATTCCGATTTCTACTGTGCCTTCCTAACTCTCAACTCCATTCCAATTTGTTACCATTCCAAGGCGTAAGTGTGGTCTGAATGCTATCAATAATAATAATACATTCTCAGTACACAAATTGGTGTCTATTTGTGTAAAATGAATAAAGGATGAAAATAATCAGAAACAGTATTTCTGCTGAATCCTTCGTGCTGGTGGGATAGATAGGCAGCAGCACTCGGGTTGGAAGAGGGTTCCAACCATATCCTTGTAGGATGCGCGATTTTTTTCTATCCACTATGATAAATGCAAATCTACCAGATAAGTTTAAACGTACATCTTCAAATTGTTTGAGCTCATTGCATCGTTTATTATCGGGATGATTTGACCCAAAATGTACACGGTCAAAGTAATGATCTTTCATGCTGTTCATGTTACTAAGCAAAACCTGTGAATTCGGGGACCACGCAGAGGGGTGGTAGTTTGCACATTTGGGATAAACTGGATTTTTTCTGATTGCTCTGCATCGGTAGTCTTGCAGGTATTTCCTAATTGGTGAACTAGTGGGTGGATTGCATTCGCATTGGATAGTAGGGTAGGATATTGCACATCTTAACATGTCACTCGGAAAAAAATATGTTACCTTGGGCACGATCTTGGGTCTTTGTATGCAGCTTGGTATGTTGTAGTCAATACCCCATCCTTTTTAGACATCGCGGTCAGAAAAAGCGACGAGGTAACTATGATAACTAGTTACATTGACAAAATAAACAATTTACTTCTGCAAAAGTATTATCCATAAAAAATGAAAGAATTAATAGAGTTGCGACGTGAAGTAAGTTTTTGCTGAATACAAGTGGTCCAGGAAGTCTCGAAAATTTATCAATGTGTACTAATCAACCGTAAAAAGAAAAAGTAAAAAGTAAAAGATTTTTCTTAACAACGAAATATCCAGTATTGCATACTGAGTTAAAAATAAAATGAAAGCGCGCTACCTTTTCACCATACATCAACCAACCCCGTGGTGCACGTTTTAAAATTGTGCTAAGCCCATTAGTTGGTCTTCGTGACGGGACCTGCGGGACTTTAGTTTTTTTTTTTATAGTTGCTGCTGTTTGATTTCCACTATGTTCATGCGCCGACCGTTGAGGCGTTTCGCTGTTATCTGTGGTGTTTTCTTCGTCATTACTCTCCTCACATACTTTTATGCAACACGTGGTACCATGGACATGAAAATCCTGCAGGAGAGGGTTCATCAATTTAACAAGGACTTTGCTGAAAAGCTAAGAGTGCCTGTGGAAGTCGACGTGCCACACAATATAGTGTACGATGAGCATTCGGTAACTTTTTGTCAAATTAGGAAATATCCTGTTACTTAATTTCTGTATTAAACCTAACGTGCTTTTGTTCTTACATGTTTAAACTGTGTGGATTACTGTGTATTATAATAAATGTGGACTTTTTCTTTCTATGTGCAATTTAATTTTCTTGTCTGTTTTAGAGAACAAAAGGAGTTGAAGTGTGATCCCCAAGTCCACGCTTCACGTGCCGATATAGAGGTACGTTAAGGTCCAGGTTTAGCTGCATTTTTTTCCAAGACAAGAATAGGGTATTTACACAGCTTTAAAAAATTTTAGACTGGTCCCCTTTATGATAATATCCCCTTCAAAAACGAAGCTGGTGGCGTCTGGAAACAGGGTTTTAATATCTCCTATTCTCCATCGGATTGGAATAATAAGAAGCTTGAGGTTCTCGTTCTCCCCCATTCTCATCAGGACCCTGGTGAGCTCTAAAACAAGCTTCTTTGCCATTCTCTCGAACATATAATAGCCTAGGTTTCTTGTTTTGCCATCATCTCTTCGTTGGCTGTACTTTTGAATGCCTTTATTCCTCCGTCATGGGAATAGGTTAGTAAAATCCGGTTATTACTACATGATGCGTTTAGCTGGTCATCAAATCAGGTAGCTCCGATTAATTTTATAGCAGAATGTTTTTGATCCAGCGGGTGATCTCAACTTGGAAAACGAGCTTGGTATTGCTTAAGAGGTCTGAGCTTAGAGCATGATGAATTGTATGAGAGCGGATGCCTTGGAAGTGGGAATATTCGCTCCAGCCTCCTTGGTTTGCCTTCCTTTAATATTGTATATTATCAGATAATGTTTAGGTACATTGATAGATCTGGAATTAAACGAGCAATTATCTGGGAAGGGGAGCTTAGATTAATGACTGCTATAAACAATAATGCGATTTTGCAGTTTTTTTTGTTGTTTATATTATGCAGGAAAGATAGATAATCTCCTTGTGTCAGGGCGGATCAATCCGCTGTGTAGTTGCCTAGCTTTGGACACTGACCTACGTGTCCTCTTGTTATCTCTTCTTCATCAGCTGCTGCCAGTCTATTCAAGAGGCTTGAGATAAACTAAACGGTAGGATTGCATAGCACACAATTCAATTTTGTTACATTGAGATGTTTTCCAATTTCAATATTAGGTCTTGGTGGATTGTGTTTGAGTATGCTTGGGAGGTATTGCTTAAAGCTATTCCACTGCGTTCCGCTTTTAAGTAGAATTTTTCTAGAAACAAATAGAGGCAGACATTTGAAACGCGCAGTGCTAAGTAGCGCTGTAGAGATACTTTCTGTTTTCCTCCCCTTCGCTGGGTCGAATTTAAGTCTCCTCAGCTGTCTATCGGAGTTAACTTCCATTTTTAGACAGTTCCTGTACTAATCATCTTCAGTCAGTTTAACTTTGGTCTAGAACTCTTCCTAAACTCAAAATTGGCATGATCAACAAAAGTTGATACTTTTTTTGATAGCCCTTTTCACACGTTTCTCTGGGTTCAGCCGTTCGCAGTAGACATCTTCCTTTTGTAGCGTTTTTTCTTGATGTACAGCTATCAGTTCGAGATTCTTCTTGAGTGCGCTCATAAATGCTGTCACTGATGTACCGTTTGGGTTACTCTTGAAGATGCTTTGAGGCAGACGAACCTTAACGTAGCTTTATAACAAACACATAAAAGAGATGGAGTGGGCAGACCATGTCATCTTCGTGGAGGCTGGATTTTGGAAGAGAGGCTGGGTTTGCATAGTTAAAATAGTTGCCACTTTGCTAAGGGTGTGTTTGATTAATATCTATGCTACAGGCTTCTAATATTTCCAATTTGGTTTCATCTTTGCCTTTGAGGGTGGTTAATGACACTGAACGAGTACTTCGAGAAAAGTACGCACAGGGGTCTGGATGCCACTGTTGATTTTCTGGGCAAAAATTCATTTGCTCGTTTTATCTACGCCGAAGTCGCTTATTTAGACAGGTGGTGGAAGGATCTTTCTCCCTCAGTGCGAACTCTCTTCACCAAGTAACTTATTAAAATCTTAACAACCGTCCAGTTAGAATGTGACTTAGCTGTCTTTCTCTTTTTCACCAATCAGGCTTGTCCGCGATGGGCAATGGGAAATTGCCACTGGTGGTTGGGTCGTGCATGACGAGGCCCTGACTCACTATGGTGCAGCCATATCCCAACTTATCGAAGGTCAACATTGGATGCTTGACAACCTTGGTAAGTGGTCATCATCACCTGAGGGCATCATGATTCCTGATTGGGGTCCCATTTTGTTCTACTCTTCCCTTTAGGTGTTGTGCCAAACGTGAGCTGGGCGATAGACGTGTTCGGACACAGTACGACGGCAACCTATATCCTACGCAAAGCGGGCATAAAAAATGCTCTCATTCATCGTGTTCATTATGAGGTCAAAAAGGCCCTAGCGAAAAAGCAGAACCTCGAGTTTATTTGGCGCCAATCCTGGGGTAAGAAGGTGGCTTAAAATTCATTCCCGTCCTCTGATAGATTCGTCTGGGGAAACAGAAGTCTTTGTGCACCTTACGCCCTTCTTCTCCTACGATATTCCACACACCTGTGGACCTGATCCTAGTATCTGCTGTCAGTTTGATTTTATACGGAACGTTTTGGGGTGTCCGTGGGGTGTTCTGCCAACAATGATCACTCCGTCGAATGTGCAGGCTAGGTGAGTTGAATTAGACCTTGTTGTTGGGTAATTTGATATGAATATCTTCAAAAAGGGAGAATTGTTCAATTAAACCGTAGTCGATATTGATGCCTGGTGGCTATAGTGCGTCCTCGGAGGCATACATTACCAAGTCTTTAGAACTGCATAAGCCCGTTGACAATTCCCTTTGGTGAAACCCCAGAAGTAGTAGTTCAAGGAGTCTAAATTGTAAGAGTTAGAGGGTCAAACGTGTTCATGGCCTTGTCGACTGCCTACCCCTGGGCCAGCCAAGTTGTCCTCGAAATAATGATTTAAGGGAGAGGCCTCATTTCGGCAAATCTGAGGTTTAACGACCGTCTCCAATGCCTGCACGAGGACTGTTGCATTGATCCAAATAGGAGGATCCCTAGTCCCCCCTTTTTCGGGTATATCTCCTCATCCTGTGCCTTTCGAATCGCGCACTATCCAATGTATAATCTTTTTTTAACTAGTCAGAAACGCTTAAAGCGATGGCCATGGTGAAGTTCGTGACCCTTGTTCCCCTTTTTTAAGGGCCGAAGTACTAGTGGATCAGTATCGTAAGAAGGCAAAACTATTCAGTAACGGTGATGTTCTGTTGGTGCCTTTGGGAGACGATTTTCGCTACTTGACTTTGGCAGAATGGGACTTCCAAGTCTCGAACTATCAAATGCTCATGGATCATATCAACAGCAAGGCGTCATACAACATGCATGTGAGTGGATGTCTAAATTTGGTGATCTACCATCTGCTGAATTAATTACTCTTGCCACCTCAAACCGGTTCGCTTATCCCAGATCTCTCTATCCATCCATAGTGGTTTATCTTTCCACACATGTATATGGTTACTTGTGTGATGCAAATGTTGCAATCACGGAGATAGTAGTATTTAATCTAGGCTCACAAATTAGCCACACCCTGCAAGTCAATTTTTCTAACCTCACGTTTGCTTTTTTTGCATAAATGGGAGGGTGGTGTGGGTACCGTGACGGCCTTGCCTGCCTACTCTTAACTTTTACAGCTTCGGCTAAGCGAAATGTGAGAATTTTCCCTTCTAATCACGCATTTTCTTACGAGCTTCACGAGTTTTTTATGAAGATGCCTTAAGGGATGTAAGGATGGATGTAGTTTTTTACTAGCACGCCGAAGGACCGGTGTGCTAGTGTCAGGGTTCCATGCTCACCATTGGGAGGCTAAGTCGTGGGAGACTGGAAAAGTTCCAGTACTTTCAGTGAGACCTCTCTTGTGTAGACCAATACACATAGGAAACCCCAAAGTTGTCCTAGATTTTCATGGATTTCATCTCGCATGACCTGAAATAGTGGTGTCGGTGAAGCTTGCTGCAATTAACTGTTGCAATCTGTAAGGGCTTGTAAAAGGCCCGCATTTATCCAGTACAAATATATGTGCTAATAAGAACTGCTCTTTACTGCACCCTGAACTATTCTTCTACTGCTTTGAATGCTAGTGTCATTAGACGTGCGATTTGAGCTTGTCGGCTGAACGAACCAACTTGAACTCGGTGCCTAGTCTCCGATCACATGCAGTTAAATTTATTGCTAGGGGCTCGGGAAGAGGTGCACTTCTGGTGATGAATCACTCTAGCGTAAATTTACCACGATCAAGAGGTCTCCTCATTCGTCATCGTGAAAAAAATACAATGTTCTACCACTACGTTGTGAGGGTCAGGTTTTCATGGTGCTCAATGGGGATGATGAAAGAATCCATTTGCACCAACACCAGTTGGCGAATTATTTGCTGCTTTTCTCACCATGTGGGATTTTTTTTTTGCATTGCAACGTTTGTTACGCGAATGAATGCATCATTCAGCATCCCCAAAACTGCCATGATCTACCACTTTAACCCCGAAGAATGTGCTGTCTTTATGCTTGCTTGTGTCTCTTCGGGAGGGGATTATGAGTTGAGCTCCTTCTATGCGTCCATCACATTTCGTAGGAGCATTCATTCAAAGGGAAAATTAATTTAGGAACAGCGAGGCAACGGAAAATAGCTCGTCATAGTTCATTTTCTTGGTCTCTGTCATCTCAGGCATACCCGTTCCTGCGATTTCACTTAATGTTCAATGCTAGCTCTTGTCATGTAGTTGAAGTTTTGACACTGACCAAAATAGCACACATTCTTTTACCGTAAAGAACTTGGCTGGGTTCTATCTCCTTTGATGGCAGAAACGACTATTTTTAAACTTATGGAAGCCTTCCAAAGATTATTGGGACATCAAACACCGGTAGAACTCATTACAGGCTCGATGAATTTGTTTCAACTTGTCATCAGTCGAAGTAATTTCAGTTTACCGTTCCAACTTATGTCACATACAGTGTCTGACGTGGAGTCTCAGGTACTGGTGATCCAAGAGCTTCCCATTCTTGTGCATAGATCCGTTTTGGAACACTTTCGGAGTACTTTGATCTGGTGCATTCACGGAGCAAATTGAAGGAATTCTCCACCTTCATTGGTGATTTCTACACCTACGCGGATCTAGATGATGACTTTTGGAGCGGATACTATACCAGTCATGCCTCATTCAAGTCCATGGCACGTTTTGTGGAGGCCGAAGTGAGGTGAGTTTCCATTCTGTTTGATTCATTTCAGCACTCCGTTTTTTTCGTGGAGCCATGTTCATATAATAAATTGTTTATTCCATCCATCCTGTACCCACCCTGTATCCATCCATCCATCCTGTTTCCATCCATCCAT